TGCCGGGAAGAAACAACGTACTGATTCTTCGAATTTTACGATACTGCTTGGGAGCCTTTTAACAAAACGATCTGCTACAATCGCGACGCTTTTCGAACACCGAGGCGCGGTCTTCGTCGAGCACTGACACTCTGTGTGGTAGGAAAACGAATGCAAGAAAATTGAAACAAGAAGGGCGCGTGGCGTACATTTCAGCGTTATCGCTGGCCTATAAGTTTCAGACCTATAGGTTCTAAACCACCCACGTCAGCACTGGAAACCGTGTTCGCGCGCACGCATGTGTGGTATTCATGTATGTCTACATCGAGAAGTGTTCCTGCGGATCGTCCGGTGCTGTGTATGCGTTGATAAATGACGAACGAACGTGCGAACGTGTTCATTTATTCCAACGTCTCGGCAGGAGGCATGCCTTTGCCACGGAATGTAGCCGTGCACTTGCTCGCGCTTGGTTTGCGCTCGTATGCTTTTGAAACTTGCATGCTTGTTGCGTGCCCCTGTCAAATAGATACGTCCGTCGGTGCACTCTGTTGGATTGAAAACCTTGATACTTCTCTCCTGCGTGTGCGCACGCACTCAGTTATATTGATCGACTGCACACAGCCGAAATATTCAGAAAAGAGGTGTAAAGAAGGCTGCGGAATATCTGAAATACGCGCAAGTGGCTCAAACCACACGTGGCATGTTGATTGCGCACGCTGTGCCCGGCACCCGGGATTTACGACGCTAAACTTCTAACGCGATTGCGGTAAATAGATCGCTTCGCAAAAATTCCGGCGTCGGCGCCGTTGGTTGTGAGTGAAAAATCATCTTATGCGTGACCGAAAAACCGGGAACGATGCAAATGAAAAATCCTGCGTCACAGCGAAAATCGAACATGGGACGCTTGGGTGCGAGTGGGAATCGAACCCGAGTCTTTCAGGTGGCAAGCGAATATTTTACCACCCAGCCATACGCCTGCTTGTGAATACATTGAAAATAACTTCCTCTGCTTTGAAATGCAGTGAATGTAACTTTCATGTTTTACAAACACACGCATCCTGTATACATGATTCACATTACAAAATGAAATATGGCAGCAACAATGCGTGGTACTAGCTTACATTGCCATCGGGCGTCAGAACATGTGTTTATCATATAGACTTGATCGTTGTAAGTCGGTCACCCACTACAAAAGTGCACGCACGTTACTGCTCCTATTCCCTTTAAGCCAAGTAGTTCATGCATGGCAACTTAAAATAGATTTCATGCTCTAAACTTTTCAAATACGCTCTAGGGACAGGATATTTCTATCGCGTCCAACGCTTAAAGGCGAGGCTTAAGAGTCTCGCAATTTTCTATAAATTGTTAACCAACTAATAGTACAGTCTGGGAAAGAACGTGTATTCCATCCAAATCACGAGGGAGAAAAGGCATGTTGGCATGACGGCCATTTTGTTTCATAAAGGTTTTCTTATTTTTATTTATGTTACAATTTAAATGACACTTTAAAATAAAAACAAAAACTAGCATACGTTCTCAGGTCACGTGATTTCATTAATTCATTGTTCTTTCTTTGTAACCGGTCGAGAGGCAGTCACAATTTCAACCGTCTCACTCAACCGAGGGTTATCGAACACAGGTACACACAAGATCAACATCCATTAAGGAAAATGAAACGCACTGTACTCTAATGCCAGTTATTTGAAGGTATTACGTATCAACGGTAAACTTAAAAAGGGGATTCTTGCAAGGGGTTTCTCTTCAAGACTTTGGATAAGGGGAGGGGGGTTCAGACGCGCTTGGCCACGGCCCTCCCCCGGTGATTCACGTCAGTGAGTTCGAGCCCTTTGCAGTGTGTACCAGCATATTCTCTCGAGCCTTGGTACAAGGGGCGTTCATTCACAATGCAGATAATTTAGCAGGCCAACACAAAACACAGAAGAAATTTTCCAATTTTTCTGCAGAAAGTGTGCTCTTGGATTAAGAAACTTTTTCAGTGCCACTCATAAGCAACCCAATTTTTTCCCTCTAAATATTATTCGGCGTTGGTGTTATTGTTATCGCTAATTTCACAGAGGGTTGCCTTCGTACTGTGAGTACGACAGTCTCCAGACTTTACCGAATAGTAATTTCCTGTACACCCCCTCCCCCTCCAGATAAAAGACATCAGTCACAAACGAGTCCTAATAATATGTGGCTCGTTTAACTCTTAGTATGCGATGGATCAATCACTACGGATCATCTCTTAAAGCTGTTAGTCATGCAAGCTTTTTTTGTTCGCTAGGTAATATTTATTTTTAGATCAAGCCATTAAATAACCACGTTTATACCAAGAAGCTCAGAAGCTACTCCTTTGTCCAATCCGCTCACGCATAAGAATGCTTTTCAATCACAAGGAAATATAATTTATAACATACTCAGGTCAATCAAGAGAACTGAGAACACACCCATTCATGAAGTAGTGTCATGCAATAGTTTCCAGCGCACCCAGAAGGTTTAGTGCGAGAGAACTTTTTTTTGAGAGCGGAGCACTTTAGGTGCCCACAGTGTCGTACGACGTTGTCGTATGCTGTCATGGCCTGGCGTAACGCAAGCAAAACCACACACATAGCGTACAGTTTAGCCGGCTACGCTGTATTCAGCGCGCGCTCATGCCAAGGAGAAGATTCTTCCTGTTGTTTTTCGAGGTCTTTGTTGATCATAAGTGCGCAGCACTTTAGGCGCCCAGGCTGTCGTATGTTGTTCTCGCTTGACGTAACCCAGGCAAAATAATGCATAAAATGAAAAAAATAGCAAGCGAGAAATAGAAAAAAAAACAGAAAGTGAGAAAAAAATAAATGAAGATAGGAAGGGACAAATAAAAAGAAAACTAAGACCAAACAAGAAAGAGCCGAGCAAAGGAAGGCTCCACACATCCTTCATGCAGGCAGGAAAAATGTCCTTTACTGAAAATAATGACGACGTCAAAGACCGTTCTTTCTCAGTGGGACTCCTCCAGGAGGCGATGTTACAGAAGACGCGCCACATCGCGGTGGCAGGATAATGTTACATACAGCTTGGCGTCAGCCAGATTTTGTGTCGTGGCTGAATTCCAGCTCTTACTTGCTCTCGTGCTTCTCCCGAAATCAGTTTAATCGTAACCAAAACAAATCGTGGAAAAACTCTCAAAACAAAATGTCAAGCCAGCCTCAATTCCCTCTGAATGCGCGCGTGTCAACGGCTGATATTACAAAGCATTTGTCAATCCGCTAGAGCTGCCGTTCCTTTCACAAACAAAATAAACCGAGTTCTATGAGACATCCAAAGGACAGAAATCGAGCGAAAGTTTGACACATGCAAAAACGACCTCGAACTTTGCCATTCTTTATTACCTTTTTCCTTGGTTTTGAAAAGTAAAAGCAAAGCATGCTGCCTATAACTGTTTAGCGCAGGGATTCCCTCCAATCTCAGAACGTCTATCTCGTGCAGCTTTGTGGATATTGCGTCTTCTTGTAGGAGTGAAACACGAAATTTGAAAGCGATTTGTTGCGAAATGCTCCAGGAATTGAACTGCCACGCACGCGTGCCCATGCATGAATAGCTTTTTTTTTTCACAGTCGAAACATGTTTCGTTTCGTTGAGTGCCGTTGAATTGGCGTCTGAACTCTTGCATCCGGCTATTCTTTGATTCCAGGACATGATTTGCTGACACAGGCTCACCGCTCGCAAAGGTGTCACCGAATACCAATTTCATTAGCTGCCTGACTACGCTCACTGAGGGCAAGGGCCTCTTCCATATTCCGTTAATCAACCGCGTTAAGTGCTTGCTGATACTATTGTTATACCCAAAAACTTCTGAATATTATTTGTCCACGAAACTTTATCTCCCCCTCATGCGTTTGCCTTCTCCTGAAATCCAGTCAGTTAGTCCCCCTTGATGAGCAACGGTCATCTTGCCTACGCGCTACGTGCCAGGCCCATGTCAATTTATTATTCTTGTCTTCAATGATCATATCCCTAACACCCGTTTTTTTCCTGACTCACTCCTGACCCAATCAGGAAGCCAGAACCCTGGTTAACGTAACCGTGGTTAGGTTTACGATGGTTGCTTATGTTGCACGTACGCGAAAACACGATTATTCCTCTAACGGCGGTTTCAGGAAGCCGAGCTTGGCAACCTCGGTTAGGCATTAACTGAGGAATTAGCAGCTCCTATGAGTGGGGAGTATATGCAGATGAGCATGCGTGAAGAAAAAAAAAAACGGACGAATGGATGGCACGAACCACGGAAAGAGTGATAAGACTATGGGAAAACCATTCGCGTGATCTGGGGAGCACGTCCCACAATGCAAAGGTGTACGCGGCAATACCAGCCGGGTTGAACGCATATATTCGCATAATTGTACGCTTGAAGAACATTACTCAAGAAATAAGTAACATATCTGTGTTCAGAAAAGCGATCTGCTGAAAAATGCGTCAGTTAGGTTGCTGTAGGCCGGGTGGTGTTTTCCACCTTAACCGAGGAGGGCGCTTCTGCACTGTGTAGCACCAGCGAACTGTGGCTAGCGCTTACCGAGGTTAACTTGTCTGTGTACCATGCGTGGTATTACTGTCTCTCAAAGTTACACCTACCATTCCTTTCCATTGCTAGCTGCGTCGTCCTCAGTCGGAGTTAAACTCTCTTTGTAAGGATCCAGGTTTTGCTCCGTAAGTAAATACTGGTGAGAGGCAACTGTTATATACTTTACATGGAGTTCTCAGTGCCAAATTATGCAATTTCACATAAGATGTTCTGGTGCCTTGTCCTCAAATTACCGGCCGACGAAAGCTGTTATATGGCTTGAAGGTCTCTGCACAAATTTTGCCAGGGCTTCGTTACTCGAAGAAAACAAAGAGAAAGGAACAAGTCCCACAAGAAAACTTCGTTTATTTCAAAATCAAGTGGCAATAAAATCAAGGTGGGTGGGTGGGTGGTGGATAAGAATGGAGACTCGAGTGTGCAGGAGGGGCGGAAACGGTAGAAAAGCGTTACTCAGACTCACCGCCCAGAGGCCCAAGAGGAGGACGACCGAGGAAACAGCGCACGCAGCAGAGAGCAGCACCATGAGTAGCGAGAACGTGAGGAGCACTGCAGATGAGAAAAGAAAGCGCGGGATCAATGAGAAAGAGAAGAAGGTGGTCCCGGTTAACACCGGAAACTGTACCCCGGGTTGTGAACAAAGAACGCGACGAGCATGCGGGACACGCAACCTCCCCAAAAAAGGAAACAGGTGTGCAGGCACCGGCAAAGCCCGCAGAGACGCTATAGCCGGCCTTGTCTCCAAGCGCACGCCTTCGTCACAGCTGCGTCGTGCCTGCACGCTGGGCCGCTCGTCGTTGTAATGATCAGTTCGCTTGGATTAGCTTATATTTCTTGTTCGGAACCGGGGGTCCTTGCCCCGCTTTGTTTACACTTTGTTAACGCCGCTTTTTTTGTTCAACACCCTTTGGGGACGCGTCGTTGACTAAGAATCCAAATGTGCTGACGATGTCTATAGTTTCTTTTCTTGCCACAGTAACTTGGCGTAAACAAACGAGTATATCTGAAAGCGAGCAGGGCTCCCTGGTTAATGTTTTCCCGCTTTTGTTTTTGCCGTAACTCTGAGCATCATTCCCATTAGGGATGTATTACTTACCGCGGCTAGGTCGCGCTGACTTTGTTGTCTGTAATGTTTATTTATTTATTTAGTACATACTGCCAATTATATTAGGGATTATTGCAGGACAGGCACAACTGATAAGTGTAACAAAGATTAAAACTATCAAAAGAAAATTCATGCAAAATACCTTAACAGTCTTTTTTTCTTTTTGCTAATGGGAATGTAATAATCAATGTAACAAATCACATATGGGAAGGATCTATACAAAACTGTGAAACAGAACTTTACAATACTGTCACGCCATAGCACACCAATTTAATTACAATTAGGTCATATTATCAGTCATCCGGATAACAGCCACTCCATCAATTAGGCAGCCCTACAGTGGCTGACTGTTGCTCCATGCACACGCGGTAAGCGGCAGATGGAGTTTTCAAAAAAGTACAAGTCAATATATAATTTAGCTATTTTCTCATTTTCTTTTAATTGAGCATGCAAGTAACAAATAGATAGAGGATCACCTAATAATTGAATAGCAGCTTAGTTTGGTGTAATGTAACAAAGAAATCCATAAATGATCACATTATCCCACACACAAAAAAAAGATCTGTGTTTTGTTGCAAACGTTCCTTTTAACGCCCACACCTCACAAATGCTTGGTAAATATAAAATCATCAAATGAGACCTGCTCCACAAATACTCTTTGTTATTCTCCTTCAGGTATGACACCATTAAAAGTCACTATTATATAGACAGTTTAGCTCATATAAAATCAAATCTTTCTACGTGCCTAAACCGACATTTTGAACATTAGTATTTTGCGAAATCACGCACAAACTATGGTTTTGAGGCACTGTGTTATGGTTTGTCGAATGCTCTAAATAAGTTGAATAATACTTCTGAATATGAACGCATTTTTTTCAATTCTCACATTTGAAATACGTTGTGTTGAATAAGTCTGTATTAATATTTTCTTCTTGGTACAACTTTTTCAATGTAAAGTATGTGGAATGTTGGTTTTAACTGGCTAATAGTTGACATTGATTTTGTTGTTATGTTGCCAGAGTGAATGTGGGATGTGGGGCAATGTCGTGCAGCTCTCTTTTCCTGGTTCCAAGCACTTACTGTAAAACTGTGTGTAGTAACTCTACTGAACCCTTCATTTCTGTACGTCGCGAAACCACGAACAAAAGGTCACAGTCCTCCATTGCATCAGAGCAACTTACGCTGCCCATATTCCCCTAAAACTTTTAAAGAATGGAGTTCCCTGTCGGCATCGTTAGCGAGAATAACTGACTCCACTCAATTTATTAATTGCTTCATAGTAACTATATACTGTTTGATTATCCTCTTTGTGTTGCTTTCAGTAACTCCTTGATTTTGTCTGTCCTCTTCATAGATGGATGGATTCAACTTTACTTAACGTCCAGCAAAGCTTAACACGACCAGGGTTTAAGTCTCCCATGGGGGTACGACAACACGTTCACTCAACGTCACCTCACGAGCTTGCTGGAGTGCCCACGTTTGGATGCCGAGGACGGAGCTGCGCAGTGTGGCGGCCCATCTCTCCGGAGTAACTGCCGTCACTCTTCTAACTTTTCTATCCTCCCACAACATGTGCTTGAGTGTCGCTGGTCCTTCCTGGTACAATTTGCACGTGTCACCCTGATGTTTCTCTGGGTATATCCGTTTCAGGTTGAATGGGTGAGGAAAGGTGTTGGTCTGTCTCCAGGCAACGGCTTGCCTCCTGTTTGGTTTGGGACTCGGCGGTGGGAATATTCTTTTGGCGTTTGAAAAGCTTTCGTTATGTCATTTAAGCTAGTGAGCCTATACCGCCCTGCTCGAGGAGTGTTCCCTATTGGGCGAGATGCCTGTCCCTGTTCGGCATGCCGGGTCATGTTTAGCGCCATCAGGTGTGCCATCTCGCTAACATTCGGGAGCGCTTCATCTATAGCACAGTGGCGTGCGTGGGCGCGGAACCACACGATGGTCCAGCTTGCGATATGGGCCTGCCCAGTTTTTCTTGCAAATTTTACCTGTGGCTGAGTTTATTATTGCTGTTTGGAAATCACATAGGAAGATTAGGATCTGTTAAGACTACTGCGATGGGTACACTTCGTCCGCTATTGCCGAGCGTTCCGTGCGTACGCTGCATGCAATTCTGGCTTTGGAGTCTGTGCCTATCACTACGAAAGTGTATTTATCAGTGTCACATATTCGGCTGTGTTGACAAAGCCCACATTCATCTCCCTGCCGAAAGAACGAAGCAAATCTTCCAATCTTCTCTTTCTTCTTCCTCGGTGGTAGTCGGAGTGAACGTTTCTACGGATACTCGCCCCATAATGGTGTGCCTGATTTTTTCGCCAATTTGAATTTCCGGCCGTGCCAGTTGTGGTACGTTATGCCAAGCTTGTTCATCCTTTCTCCTTCCGTCGTAGTGTCTTCACGATAGGCTTTCAAGCTGCGCTATGCGTTCCACCTAATAACAACATTACTCTACGTTTCCTTCATAGTGCTTCTGCAAGTTGTCAGCGTTATTAATCTTTGTGTCTCAGTCATTTACTATATTTCTATGAAATGTGCTTCGTGTCCTTTTTCTATTTATCTATTAGGACGAACTCTTTACATGCATCTCCAAACGCGAACTTTGACCGTCCGCGTCCCACGGCATCTGGGACGAGTGGTGCTAAAAGTTTTTATGACATGATGACGTCATCACATGACGACACAATGCCGTCGCACATTGTCACACTTTGGACGGGATTACGACGTCAATATGACGTCACACGATGACCTCGTAGCTTGGTCAATGGTAGTCCCATCACGGAGCCAATGCAAAAACCAGGTGAGGTGCCTCCGATCGTGCAGGCAATGCAAAAGCACGTTAGATGCAGGAAGCTTTCGATGATGACGGGGCATGATTGACGGACAAAAAAAAAGAAAATTGCTTTCACCTTCAAGTCGTTTCAATTGAATGCTAAAGGCGCCCTGAGAGTTTCGTTTCCCCTTTCCGTTTGAGTTTTACTCTATACACTGAGAGTAAAATATAAATAAATGAAGAAATAACATACTGTAGCACTTTTTGAATGAAAACCACCAAGCAACAAAGCGAGAAAATATATCGGAGACGATAACTGTATGCCAGTAACCACAAAATAACTGAAAATAAAGTAATATAAACAAAAATAAAACTGACCACCGGTAGGGATCGTAGCTGCAATTTTCAGATAACGCGAACGATGGTATCGGAACTCCGTGGGTTTGGTAAAGAGGACGGAAGAGCAAGTTGCCTTTCCCACTGCTTTTCTTCGCATTCGTATTGTAGTGACTGCAGCACAGTTTAAGTCCCCTTCCCTGGCTTTCTTACATGGAATTAAGGCGTTAAAATTTTCTTCCGCCCATTTGTAGCGCTTGTTGTATTTCGTGTGCACCCTGCGAAGTATCGTAATACAGGCCACAATAGAGAGAAGAGCAAATTTATTTCATTCATTCGCAGCGAGAGTCTCACTCTCTCTGACTTGATGCCTTGAGGTATAGTATGCGAGCGACTATTGGTCAGCTGCCAGCTCTTAATGAGATCACGACGCCGTGATGGCTACTAGCGGTACTGAATGGCGCTCCCACGTTTAAATGCAAATATACACTCCATAATGTAGACGCAGGGATGACCACAGCTGTAGCTCGTTTCTTACCGCATTGGGCGCATTATTTGAAGGCCGCATGTCTGGTACCTCCCGGTGACAGGTTATCTTTTAATCCCCCCTTTATTTATTCGCATTAACATCACCATTACTACTAATAACATCCACCATACTTTCCTTTCTATCATTGTCTGTTAGTTATCAATAATACAAGTCGCTAGTTATGTTTATGATTCTTCCATGTACAGATTCTTCTTGCCATCCACAAAAATTTTTTTTCTAAACACTATTCATACTGCTGTATAATCTGCTCAATATTCTTTGTACTTCCTGCGTATTGCTGTGTTCATCGTACCACCCACGCCAAGTCTGGTATTCTGGCTGGCAGTATTTTTATAAATAAATAAATAAATAAATAAATAAATAAATAAATAAATAAATAAATAATAAATAAATAAATGCTGACACGTGCTCTTCCAATTCAGGGCACGGAGAGGCTCGCGTCCTATCCGAGTATCGCCATTCCTCACGGTTGCCCGACTTTACCCGTGAGTCCTGCAATTAATCCAGATCCCTAATGAGCGCTAGAGCCTTAATAAGGAGCACACCTCCGTGGGACGTTATTGCTTTTGGCATCGCTACTTTTTGTTACAATATCTCCTAACTTTTCTGCGTGACCCAGTTTCGGCTTTCAGCGGATAGACAGTCCGGAAAATATAACAAGCTATTTCGTTGTCAACCCTTCATTGACTGACGAGAAAGTAGGATTGACAGATCATGACTATTTTTCTTGGAGCACCGTTAAGGGCGAAAGAGGCCTCCGTTGTAGCTGGATGAACATGCCCTCG